CGTAGCTGTGACTACTACAGTTCTCGTCGTATATTTTCATCTCGGTGCCATCTTCCGGCTCAAAATTCATCGAACGCACCTATTTAGTCGTAACGTTTGTGTTAAGAAATTTTGTTCTTGTAATTGATGTAAAAATATGTTTGATGGTGGAGATAAGCTGAACACAGTACTTTTTCGATCCGTGCTGGCTTGCGAAATTTCCGGTTTGGATGTTGTTGCAAGAGTCACACGTTTTTCTTCCGCAGTTGTTAGTTCCACTTTTAAGCCTGGGTCACTAGTGCTTCCAGACGAAGAAGATGGGCTGGAATAAAATGTCTGTCCTACCACAGTAGTTGGTTCGACTCCAGACGTGGAAGGCAATCCTGAAAGTAGACGAGATCCACCAAACGGTTTCAACCTAGTTGTAATTCTCACTGTTTTGATAAGCGATTGGGTTTATTTTTTATGTAGTAATACAAAAAAAGTAATGCCATGAAATATTTATTCCAAAAGTTAAGTATTAACCCTTAATCATGAGACAAGAGACGCTTCCAACGATGCTCAGGGACATGGAGTCCATCCACATTGAGCCGTTCATGCACAACAATGTTCTATTCAAAGATTTTCCGACGATTTCCACTGACTTGCCATCCATAAGAAGCTCGACGCTCTGACTTGTCTAAAATAGAAGAAAATACTTCCTTTACTGAACAAGACTGTGAAGTTTTCACTACGGAATTTCCTTGGTTTTTCATTCTTTGTTTTCACTTGCCAGATTCACTAGTGGTGATATGGAATGTTTTAACACTGTTGAAAAATTCGATGAATAGTGCATTCCATTGCAAATGAGCTTTTTTCCTTAAACCAATCTTTATATCAGGCTGTTTAGAAATAAATGAGCGTTTTAAAATATTTATTGCTTGAGTGTATTTTTTACCAATAAAGTATTCTTTTTACCTTGCACAACTTTTTATATTTTGTCAAAAGTCAAATTTTTCTTACCAATTTTGGGCTTTGCGATTTTAGATGTCAAAAACGAACTTTCGTCGAATTTTCCTTCATGAGTTCAAATTCGGTCGTAGTGCAGTAGAGACGGCTCGAAGCATTGGTGAGGTTTGGGGCGAAGGAAGTATTGGTGAGTCGACAGTACGAATATGGTTCTCGAAATTCCGATCTGGCGATTTCGACCTCGAAGATAAGGATGGCGAAGGCTGCGGATGTCCCAATGAACTTGAAGACGAGCTGAAGGCACTAGTGGAAGCAAACACACGAACAACTGCTCAAGAGTTTGCAGAATAGCTTGGCCCAAGCACAGGAACAATTTCCGCTCACTTTAATCGCATAGGAAAGACAAAAACTCAGCAAGTGAGTGCCGCACGAATTAAACAATAATCAAATAAATCTTTGTTTTAAAGTATCGTCGGCTCCTATTCTGCGCAACAAAAACGTCGCTTTTCTCGACCGGATTGTGACGTGCGATAAGAAGTGGATCCTGTACGACAACCGGCGACGTTCAGCTCAACGGTTGGTTTGCGATCGGGCTTCACAGCACTTCGCTAAGAAATTCCACCAAAAAAGGTTATGATGACTGTTTTGTGCTCTGCAGCCGGACTGGTTCTTGATAGCTTTTTGAATTTGAGCAAACAGATTACGGTAGAGAAGAATTGCCAACAAATCGACGACACGCACCGTAAACTCCAGCAACAACGACCTGCATTAATCAACAGAAGAGGACCAATCCTTCTTCATAAGAACGCTCTGCCTCACGTTGTGGAACCAGCGCTTCAGAGGTTGAACGAATTGGGTTACGAAACTGTGCCTCATCCACCATATTCATCATACGTCTAGATTACCGACTGCCACTTATTCAAGCACCTTGACAACTATCTGCGCGAGAAATGCTTCACAAAACACCATGAAGCAAAAAATGCCTTCAACGAATTCATCGCTTCCATAACTCCAGAATTTTATGCAACTGGAATAAATAAACTTGCTTCTCGTTGGGTAGATTTAAACGGTTTTTATTTTGGCTAATAAAGTTTTGTTTTAAGCAAGTTACGACATTTTAAATAATATACTAAAAAACGCTCATTTATTTTTGAACAACCTAATAGTTCCCATTATATTTTGCTGTTATAAGAGGAAGTTCTATAAATCATCGCTCTCCTCATCCAGTTTACCTCCTTTCTCTCCAGCCGCACCTTATAGAAGCAGCTGATAAAACAGTAGATGAAATATCGCCATGCGGATAAATACGATTTATGCTGAGATTCAGTAGAATAGGTCATACACACATTTTTTCGAGCTCACTGTGGCGTCATAAGAGTTCAAGGTTGTTGTAGCTCATTCTTATCAATTTAAAACAGGTCTTCCACTCTTTCGAAACGGGTGGAGCATTACAAACCACAGCCACCTTACATCGTTGTCCTATGAGTATACTCGGGTGACACAACATTATATATATATATATATATATATATATACACCCCTCCACTCATTAAATATATATATATATATATGTATAGAGAGTGGAGAGGGATTCCGGAGTGATTAATGACGCAGTCCCTTAGGAAGCAAGACGCTGCTTCGATCTCCTTGCCAACGCTCTCCTCCGATTCATGTGGAAAGCCTTAGTTCGGCTATTTTCAAGGCCGCAAGGAGAATTGATTTGATCACCATTCTATGACATTCACACAAAAGACAAAGTCCTCAAGCAGTAATAAACAACATGCGAAATGTTTGCAGAGCACTGTACATGATGGATACGAGGAAACTGATCAAATAGACGTGATAATAAGCCATATATACAATGAATAATAACAATAATTCTAATTTTAGGTTGAGATAGCGCAGCCGTAGTGATACCGATCATCACGAGCACTGTGATGGTAGCAGAATTGTCTGGAGAAAGCTCACACTCTGCAGTCCTGCAGTCCAAGTTGTAGCGCTCCAGTCCCGTTATCCTTGGACTTCACGCGGAATTCACCAGACTACCAACCTACGACGTTCATGACGAAAGGAAAATTCTCAAACATCATTTAAACTTGCAGATAAAAGTTTGAAAACCTTCAAGGAAGATGAATGGTAGAAAACGAATTGAATGGGCGAATGCTAGGATCTGAATAGTAGATGTGAAAGACTAGTCGTGCAAGCAAATATACATATATACATATATATATATATATATACATCCATACATATATATATATATATATATATTCTCGTATATACATGTTGAGAGTTAACACGATAAATGTGATGGATCCGAAAGCTGAGGAGCAGAAAGAGGACGCATAAAACTACAGTCAGAAGTTCTAAAACGCTTTACTGATGGGAAGGTAGTAGGACCACTCGGTTGCACGTCGTGAAAAGTATCCTGGAATCCTTTTCGTTTTTTTTTTCAAAGCTACGTTATCGTGCTTAATATGGCCGAAATCTTGTATGGTTCACATATCATATGTGGGCCGTTGATTTTTTGGCTCTTAACGTACTGGTTACATACAAGATAACAAGCACGCAAGAAGTGCACGACCTGCCCTACCCTACCCAGCCGCCAGACTCATCCATATCACGAGAACCGTAAGTGGAAATTTTCTTTTCATGTCTTTCAAAGAAGCAAAACTGCTTGGTTACAATTGGTTCGTCAGAAAAGAGAATACAGTGCATCTTAACGATTTATGGCTAAGTCTTTAAATGTGAAAATCAAATAATGACAGTGTATAGCTCTTTGAAATAAGAGAGTTTCAAGTATGAATGTGAGAATTGTAAAACTTTATTTAATAGGCTGCTTATTTTGGGAAAAGCTAAACTGTACTGCTCAAGCAACCGATTCGTTAAGTAGAATATTTGTTGGACGTAAGCACACAGCCAAATGGTCTAAGGATTCCACAGCTGTTGCGGTTGAACGTTCTAAGCGAAACGAGTTAATTAATTAAAAAGTTCTAATAAGTAAGATAAGGTAATTCTTTTAATTCTGAAAGAAACCAAAAGCTTTGAAAGGACTCAGATGACGGGTCACTGATGAAAGGATACAGTTGACACAACATCTTCATTTTATTAGTGCAGTTGTGAAGCTATGATGTTAAAAGTTTCATCCTACGCGGAAACTAAAAAATCTTTATCTGATTATTAATGAAAAACCGAGCAAATTTTTTATCTCTGTGAAGTTAATCTGTACAAGAACATGTTGACATTTACCTTGGTAGGCTGACAGTAGATCAGAACGGTCATGCAGCGGGTTGCTCGAAAATCAGTGTAAGTCGAACCTTCTTGTCCTATTTTTGGAGCCACGATTATATCACGGCTACATTTCATGCATGGGACGTATGGGTCTGAATATAAAGGTATAATAGGTCTAAAACTTTCTATGTCTCATGTTTAATAAAGGATAAAGCTCTCGGCATTGCTCAATCCCTAAGGGATGCGCCATGCATTCGACTTCATTAAGCATAGTTTAGAGATGATTGAATGCATATCTGGCTTTTACAATGACCCGCGGTGGCCTAACGATGTATCGAGCCAGTGCTGCTATCCTCCCAGACAAGTCTGTTAGCAATTTGCCGACCCCGCAGGGATGGAAGGCTTAGTGGGCCATGGGCGCGGGGATCGATTCTACGTGTGTGTCGTAGTGCGCCTCCGACCACTGATCCGCACGCGCCCCTCATGTCATATACAGGTAGAAAATTCGAGGAACCCACAGAAGAAAAATAGAAGAAATGCTTAAAACCGGGAAACAAAAAGAAATGCAAAATTCCCACCTCCTTGTTCAGGCACTGCTGGTTCACGTACAGTAGTGGTTGTTGCTGTAAGAAAAACTATTGCTCATAGTGCTCATAACTTCAACGTCAGTGCCATAAAATTGATTGACGTTGTAACCCAATTAACGTAGTCGTTTTTTGCTTATCATATATAACTTTTTGCATATCTTATATGCTTCTTCTATGTTTTGCCATTTCCACTGCAACTGCGATGAGAAAGAAAAACTTAGGAAACGAAAAATCGCCGGCTTTTCAAGATCTTCGCTACTTTAATTCAAGTTCCCACTTCACTTTTCCTTCCTGATATGTTTCGGGGAACGAGCAATATAACGTACATGGAGACTCATAGATGCACGACACAGACACGACGGCAATACCAGTCTGGTTATCGTACCACTGTCCATTTTTGCACAACATCTGGACGCTCGACGGTGAGCTCGCAATAGAGAGGTTGCCGTTGAAGACTATTTGTACTGGCCGCTTGTCGCCCATCTGAAACAAGCCGTTCTGACGTGTACCTAGTACCAGCTCCGAGAAAAGAATTGCTTCCGCATGTGTCTCGAAAATTCAAATGCGTTCAGAATTCGATTTTTGGTCATTTGTCAGTTGCAGTCGCAAAGTTAACTAGGATTTCGGTTTGCCGTCAAACCACGACATGATAAGATGCATAAAATTCGCAGTACATACGAGTGATATGACGCTAAATATTGGAACTATTTGTGTAGTTTTTCTCACCCAGTTTTCATGTTATCTTCTATATCCGCTAAGTAATGTAAATATTTCTTTTAAAATTTTTTAAAAGAGTCAATTTGCTGCAAGATTTCTCTTCTAGACATGTGAGTCGGATCATGATAAAGCTAAAAAGCATAAATCTCTCGGCGTTGACCAATCCCTGAGGGATGCGCCATGCATTCTACTTCATTAAACATCGTTTGGAGGTGACTGAATACATATCAGGCCTTTACAATGACTCGTGGTGGCCTACCGATGTATCAAGCCAGTGCTGCTATTCGCCTAGACCAGTCTGGTAACAATTTGCCGACCCCGGAGGGATGGAAGGGTTGATGAGCCATCGGCGCGGAGATCGATTCCACATGTGTGTTGCAGGGCGCCTCGGACCACTGCGCCACACGCACCCATTTTCGGATCATGATAAGGAAATAAATGCGAAGTCTGCAAACATATCGCATATCACAAGTGGTGATGAACATCCTGGTACTGCTCTGTCAGAATTTAAGGTTAAGGAATCTTATTTAACAAGAGAAATAACATGAGTTCAATGGGAATTTCGCTTGTTCATAGAGACTGGTGAAAACTTTCGGTTATACTATTTCAGCCATTGTCCAAGTATTTTTTAAGGACTAGAGGATTCGATTATCAACAACTCGGCTTCAGTTTCAACTAGTCGGCCAGTCAGATCCCATGATTATTTCTCTCTCATTGGATAACTTGTTTCGAGTGACAAAATGTCGTGTTACGCAGGACGTCAACTGGAACCGGATCTGACGAACACTACACGATACACCATGACGGCTGTTTATTACTCTGCACGTATCACGCTAGAACGCTCTCTGCAAGGGCCGATATTCACTCCCTGCTTGAAGCCATCAATTTCATCAAATTCAATATTATCGCCCTACAAGAAACAAAAAGCAAGAAGACCTACACGCGCCAACTAAGCAATGGGACTCTTGCTTTTCGCGGTAAAAAGGCTTCTTCACGAAATGTGGGTGACGTAGGATATGTCGTCCATTTGTCCATTGTCCACCTTGTCGACTCATATAAGACCCTTTCTCCTCGCATGGCTGTTCTCTCCAACAAACGTCTCCAACAAACGCGCCTTAAGAAGATCACCTCCATCATTTGCTACTCACCAACCAATGCAGCTGATGAGTACGAATTAGATGCGTTCTATTATTAGTTGGAAGGAGTTACCCACAGTGATAAAGTGTGTAATAAACTTGTGACCGTGGACTTCAACGCTAGAATTGGAAAGGCCAACGAATCCGAATACAGGATCAGAAAATTTGGACTAGCATGAAGAAATAAGAATGGAAGCCTTTTTGCAGGGCTCTCGTCTGCAGCACGCCTTTTCCATGAAAACTCGTTTTTTCAAAAGAAACAAAGTCGTCGCTCGACATGTGTCACGAAGCGTATGACACCATGTGGAGATCGACCATAAGATGCATCACTAACAGAGGACCGTCCTTACGCTACACATCGGTGGTGCCATCGTCCTGAACTGGGATCGATGGCCTTGTTTGTGCGAAGATTCCAATTAGCCGTAAGCTGGAGAAAAATTCATTTCATCGACTAAGAAGAAAAAGGCCACCCGTATATGGTCAGAAAATTCTGAACGAAATTCTATCCAGGCGTTACTGGCAAATAAAAGAAGACCGAACCGAAGACCACCAACTGCTCGTCGAAGGACTTCGAAATCTTCGTCGAAATGATATGGAATCAATAACGGAAACGTTCTACACCGAGCTTTTCCGTTCCACAAACTCTGTCCCTGAACCTAATATCCCCGTTGGAGAAAAAGCACCTGGAATTCTTCCAGGGGAGGTTTGAGTTTGGATAGAAAGCATAAGAGGCACAGCTCTAGGACCCGATAATATCAACAACGATTTCCTTAGAGTTGGAAGCCATAATCTGTACTTCATGCAAACCATACACGACAGTCTACGTTTAAAACAAAAAATCGCAGACCACTGGAGGACGTCGCGCACGGTCATCCGTCCGGCCCAGCAAAGGTGACCGAAGGGTTCTTTGTAGCTATCGTCTGGTATCCTTGTTGAGTGTACTCTAAAACCTTTTCACGAAGATTATCTTGTGGCGCACATCAAGGGGATTGGATGAGGCACAACCAGTCGAGTACTTAGGATTTCGACAAGATTTTTGGAGCCTGGATCACATGTGAACTGCGTCCACGGTCGCTGAAGATCATCGGGAATGTCACCTGCCCCTAGGCCTAACTTTCATCGACTACGAAAAAGCGTTCGACAATATCGAAACAAATGGAATCCTATCAGAGCTCGTCGACCAAGACTTGACCCGTTCGCCCTACATAAGAACTGTGTGCGACTGTTATCGGAACTGTACTACAGAAATACAGCTTTTCCATCGACCCCTCACCAAACACACAGGAAAAGGGGTTCAAAAAGGCAACATAATATCTTTAAAGCTGTTCATCGCCTCACAGCAGTGGATAATTAAGTCACTTGATTAGCACGAAAAGGTCACGACTTAACACGACTCATAAGAAGTGACAGCTGTAGAGTATTTTTGCGAAGGGAGTTTTAATGGCAATAGGAATAAAAAGTTATTGAAAGCAGCCCAAAAACGATGCAGTCGGAAGAAGTGCCACCAGGACCTTTGCGAGTATAATGTTCCGCTATCGTCCCTGATGAGTACAAATGGAGCTATCACAGCATCACACCATGATATGAAATCCATAATGGGAAAGTTTTGAACAAATCTTTTCCGCTCCACAATCCCGTGTCGGACTCCAAAATAACTGCTAGTGAGAAACAGCCAGAAAGTCTGTCCTAAGAAGTTTGAGTTGGCATAGAAACCATGAAGATAGGCACATCTTTAGAAAATGATCGTATCACCGCTGCCTTTCTTGGAGTTTGAAGCGACATTTTTTATGAACTCATCGCAACCCAAATGGCATTTTAATTTCAGGACGTCGCGCACGGTCACCTAGCCCAAGAAGGTAACCGAAGGGATCTTCGTAACCATCGTTCAATATGAATACTATATAATCTACAAGCTCCTTACTAAGATTATCCTTTCACGCATACCGAAGAGCACAATCACGTGAGCAAGTAGAGTTTTGATATGGATTTTGCTGCATGTACCACATGCGAATCCTATCAAGCGTCATAGAAGATTTCGTGAATACCATCTACCCCTAGTCCCGACTTTGTTGCCTATAAAAAGCGTTTGGTCGCGTCGAAAAGAATGCAATCCTATCAGCGACTGTCGACCTAGGAGTGAACCCATCCTGTATATGAATACTAGCAGACTGTTATCCAAACTTAAACAATGAAATACAGCTTTTCCATCAACCTCTCACTATATCCATTAAAAATGGATTCGATAATGTGGCACAATATCGTTAAAACTTTACAGTCGCAATGCAGTGGATAATGTAGTAACTCGATTGGAACGAGAAGGGTATGCGTATTGTTGGAAAATTCTTATCAAGTCTTCGTTTTGGCGACGACATCGTCATCTTCTCAAGAAGTACAAACGAAGCAGAGATGACGATCAATGAGCTCAACAAAGCGAGAAGGTAAGAATGGGCTGCACGTAAATAGGATGAAGGCGCATTTCATGAAGAACCATTAGTGCGAAAGTGGTGAAATCGAATACCTTCGACATTCAGTGAACACGGAGGACGACATGAAAGAGGAAATGTACAGACGAAGGAGAGTAGTATTGGCTACACTCTCAAAGAAGTCAACAACCAATTAATGGACCTGAAAACCCGTACTCACCTTCTGTATTCAACGGTCCTCCAAGCGCTCTGTTATGCTGAGGCGTGGGCTGGTATTTCAACTATGTCAAGAACAATGCGCCTTACTCACAGAAAACTGGAACGATGTCTTCTGAAATACAACCGGTACACACAACATCTTGTCGGAATGCGAAGCTCTGAGATCTATACCATCTTCAAGACCCAGGCGAACGCACATCGATAGCAAAACATAGATGCGTTAGTCATAAACGAAAAGAACTGACGACAGATGGCCGAAAGAACCGTACAATGGAGTTTTCGAAAATGCAGATGTTCCTAGAACGGCTACCTACACGTTGGGGTGGAGGTGGGAACGTGTTCGCACGTAAAGTCAATCAACTGTACTAGTGGCTGCAATTGCTTCACAGATCACGGCACAACACTCGAATCTGCCACCATGCTCGAATCAAACCACGACGATGGACGACGATTGTGAGGCGAAGGATAAAAAATGAAGGATAAAACTCTCGATATTGATCAATCCCTGTGGTATGCACCGTGCACATGACTTCGTTAAGCATCGTTTGGAGGTAATTGAATGCATATCTGGCCTTCAAAATGACTCGCGGTGGCGTACTGATGTATAGAACCAGTGCTGTTATCCTCCCAAACAAGTCTGAAACCAATTTGCCGACCTCGGAGGGATTGAAGGCTTGGTGGGGTAGGGTATAGGCACTTGGATCAATTTCACATATGTGTTGCAGGGCACCTCCTACCACTTCGCCACACGCCGGGCAAGCCCACGAATGGGAAATGTGCTGGGAGCTGCACAACTCGTGAACACGCGCCGTCTAAGGAACCAAGTCAGCAATTTTGTTCACCGTCGATAAGGGCGAAAACACGAAAGGAAACCAACTAAGGCAAAACAGAAAGCGAAAAAGATGAGCAAAACTTATTATTACTATTATTATTATTTTTTTATTGTTGTTGCCTTTTATAAGCGATGAAGTAAGCGTAGCTATAAAGCGATGCTTAAGAAGGGCAGGCCTAGAGGAATCGGTAGTGATAATTGAAATACCACCGGCAACTCTACACCGTCAATTAGTACGTAGCCGTCCATGTGAAACAACAAATTGCGTTATTTGCCCTTCCGGAAGGGACGGTAATTGCATGAATTCAGGTACGATATACCTGATCTCTTGTGGTAGCTGCAGAGATGAATATATTGGCGAAATGGGCAGACCTTTGTGTATCCGTATAAAAGAACACCTAAATGGCAAACGAAAACTAAGACGAAGCACTCCACTAGGCACGCATAGAATACAAAATCATAGCGGAGACGATTTTGAAGCAAAAGTCAATATCCTTGCACAGGAGTCCAAAACACCAGCGCGAAAACTTCTTGAGGCTTTTTGGATCAATGCCAAAAACCCTACAATGAATAGCAGGGATGAATGCCCGGAGGTCATACGCGACCTGATCCCGTATGTTCGCATCGATTTTTGATGTGGGATGGTGCAGTCGTCAACCACATGCGGCTATAATCAGCTGTTCCAAACTTCCTCATTGGAAGTCGCGTTAAAAGCGGTGAGTTTTTCGAGGAGCTGTTGATCATGTAATTACCATAGAGTTTTCCGTCTCTTTGTAAGTGTTATTGAAGCGTTTGGCCTAGTAGATTGTATATCAGTATGCCCTTCCAAGCTCTGAAGAAGGCGATACTGCCGAAACGTCAGCCAGTGTTGTATTGTATTGTGTTTTTCTATGGAAGTAAATGTATGCTGTTTAACAATATCGCGATTGCTGAACAAGAAAACGACGAATTCATATTCCAATGCCGAGGTTAATAGAAAGTCGATCCTGGGAACTATTGTTATTATTATTATTATTATTACGATTGTTGACACTGAAGTCTAATGAAAATCGGTTCTTAAGATACTGATTGCTACTTTATGGGCCACTAATGGAGTGCTGACTGCTACAGGACGCATTTTCCGTCAAAAGCAGATCATATTGGAGGCGAATAACGATCGGCACCCGTCCTGTATAAAAAGCGCACTGCCATGTGCAGTCCCCAATGGAGCGGCGGTGTTCCCTCCGCTGTATCCGTTTCGATGCGACAACGAACACTCATATCTCGACAATGAACAGCTGTGGACCGTCGACTCGGATCAACAAGGCTCTGCGGAAAGCAAGGGCGCCGAAGCGTTAGCCGATTAAAAGTTTATGTGCCAACCTCTTGTCGGCTCAGTTATGTCGAAATTATTAAATCTTGCTACCACGATGTAATTCAAGCCGCTAGTTTTTAAGATATTGAGCAAAACTATTGATGCAGATGAATAAAGACATATGCAGACAGCGTGCTGACTGGGAGTTACCGCCACATGCTATGCCCTTGTCAGTTCTGCTTATCTGAAGTACTGCTGAACTCTACCTAGTTATCAGGGATATCCAGGTTTTGTAGCACGTTTCGTTTTCGTACTCTACATGTTAAACCAATAGAACTTTTCAATTTTCCCAGTGTTCTTCAAGTGACCTAACCACCCAGTAACCCAACATTAGGATTAGCAAACCTCGTACGCACGGCACAAGAACTCCGTAAATTTGCAGTTGTTCATCGAGTATCGACTCAGAACCGATGCTCCGTCTTCGTAAGGTGACCCGTCGAATAACTGAATATTCAGCTCCTCACAATCATTACATTTCACTGAAATAGTTACGCAGGATTACTGGGATATCTAACGACTGAGTATTCAGTTGCGCACATGAACACTAAATAATAGAAACCAGCAGTTAATGAATTGAGACTAAGGCACAGATAATATGCTAAGCCGCCGTCGCTGCCGTAGTGGTTGCGTCTGTCCATAAATTGTGGACCATAAACTTTCAATGGAACTTTGGCCAACGTGTTCATTTAAATCATGAAATGCGACATAGTTATATTGAACTGCTATCGTCATCTACCACACTTTATATCTATATCTACATCGAAATCTCAAAGGCTCACTTTCTATAAACGCCAGCATAAAATAATCGATATATATATATATATATATACATGTATGTATACATACACATACAATGATCTTAGAAACTGCCTTTGTTGAGCTGACTCGAGGTTGGTAAAGGTTTTCGTTGTCGCTGTTGTTGCTGTTGTTCGTTCGCTGACGTTTCGACAACTCCCTCTCTCCTCAGAGCCATGCTGTTGCGAGCGGGACCAACCGTGTGTTGTTCACGTGGATGACAAGTCGAAGAAGTCGCAGAAACGTCAGCCATCGAACAACAACAACAACAACAACAAACAACTTATACGGAACCTCGCATCAGCTCAACAAAGGCAGTTTGTATAAACATTATATGTATATGTATATGTATAGATATAAGCACAAATATACGTCTATGTATAGATCAAGACCTATTCTTAGTGCCACTCGCCAAGATACTCCGCCAATGAAGCTTTTTTGTGCTATTATGCCTACAAAAAACACCGACGGGTGAGCCTATTTATTGTACACGCCATACTTTATGGCTTAGTAAACTCATACGTTTATCAAAAGCCTGTAAATGGTGGGCTGAGAAGTGCTTAACAATTGCTGCACTCTTGTTTAGCTTCTAGGAAAATCCTAAATATCTCCTACCGATTCCTTCTTTAATCGTGGATTTCGGTTCCATCGATACCTGGTTTGTGTTTGTCGTTGGTAGCGACATCACAGATGTTGTCGATGGCGACATCTGAGAAGACAGTGTACGAGTTGTACTGTGGTCAGAAATACTATTTATACGTTGAGAAATGCCTCATGGTGCTTTTTTCAACTGCAGAACTTCTTGCGACCGATTGGGACGAAGCTGTGCTAGCACTAACCGTCTCTGCAGCAGTCGTTTTCATCATAGCTTCGGACATGGTTTTCATTATCGTTGTTCTTGTCCCTTCCATAGTGCTTAATTCTTCCATTGTCGTATTCGCCATCTGAGAACTGAGCCTCAGATTCATCGGCGTTGACTGATCGACCATATTCGCAATTGTTTCAAGCGATGTTATCGTTGTGTCCATTGTTGTCATCGTTCTCGCTGTAATGCAAAATGTGTTATGTAATTATTGAAATAGTAGGTTGAAAACGGACGCTTTAAAATCCACTGAGCTAAAGAAGGAACACAGATAACTGAAATCATGACTTACAAGTTGATGGGATGCTTGAACTCGTAACCAGCGAGGGCATTGTCGTCAGCACAGTTGAAGTCGTCATGGCTGAAACTAGTCAAATCATCGAATCATCGACTCTGATCACCGACTCTGATGAAGAAGCAGGCGTCGAAACGTTATACGAGCAAAAGTTATTTCTCTTCGTGTATACTCATCAAAGGGAAATTATATATCCATTGGTCATACCGAGGTTAAAGGAAAGTCGGTTTTGAAATATAATCAAATCATATTTTTCTCAAGACCGACTTTCTTTTAACCTCGGCATTGGTTGATAATTCGAGGTTTTCTTCAATAAGCAGACACGAGGTTGTTATTATAGAATTTGTTAGGATACAGTAGCTGACGTTTCGGCGGCTTCGCCTTCTTCAGAGCCGTTTATTTGTTGAAAGTATTTAAGTTAGTTGATGGATAGCAGCCGCACAGAGTAATACATGGGCGATAACATATCAGTTACAGTCCTCGTCCATGTATTACTCTGTGCGGATGATATCCATCAACTAAAGCACTTACAACGAATAAACGGTAGGTGTTTAAATGAAGCCGCTTCTTAAGCGGTTACAAATTTATTTGTTAAGTTTCATCTGCTGGGGTTACGAAAGTGTTTGGCTGGGTAGACCGCATCCCAATTTGACCTTTCCAGGTTCTGAAGAAGGCGAAACCGCCGAAACGTCAGCTATTGTATCCTAATAAATTCTATGACAACAACCTTGTGTCTACTTATTGAAGAAAAACATATTTTTTTCTGGCACCAAACACATAATTCCAAGTCATTTGCCTATTTAAGCATATTTCAAAGGCCATTGCAGCCACTAGTACAGTTAGGAATGCTTACTCTACATGAAGCAAAATTGCAGCAATACAATAATAGAGATAGGTACTGAAATGAATTCACACAAATGCATCTTCGGACGTACCTGGGCTGGAAATTTTAAACATCGTTGTTGCAGTTTCATTCATCTGGCAGTACGTCACCTCTGAGTATGTTCCTCTAAATTGTTCCATAAGTCGGACCATCAATGCTTGTTCTTTTGAACACGTAGATAGGAAACAAATGGTATAACGGCAAAGAATGTTGCGAGAAATGCTACTGTTACAATTATTGTCATTAAAAAAAGGATAAAATTCTCGGCGTTGATCAATCCCTTAGGGATGCGTCATGCATTCGACTTCATTAAACACCGTTGGAGGTGATTGAATGCATGTCTGGACTTTATAATAACTCGCGGTAACCTACCGATGTATCGAGCCAGTGCTGCTATCCTTTCAGACAAGTCTGGCACCAATTTGCCGGCCCCGAGGGCGTGGAAGGCTTGGCGGGCCTGGGGAGCGCGGAGATCTGTCTTTTGCAGGGCCCCTACGACCACTGCGCGACACGCGCCGTTGCTGTCATTCTTTTTATTTTTACACGGTCCTATAAAAATTGCATCACATGGTGCGGTTCTCAGCAGTTGCTCAACTCGACTCGTTTCCTCACACCCACCAGAACATCTCTTGCGTTTGGTTTCCACTGCTGCTTGAAGATTTCGTCGTCGTCGTCGTCACGAAAGGCGTTTAATGCTGGTCGAATAGATTCTCCTTCAAATTCTAGTACAGCCTTGATGCGGCATGCCACATGAATCGCACAGAGTCGGTTTTTTTTCCTAGAAAAATCTGATAGCAATGGCTCGAACCCAGTGGGATGAGGGGCTCAGTGAGTACAGAGTGAGTCGAGCCAGAGCCTGGTTGGTCAGTCCACATGTCCATAAACAACGTGATCATTACCACTGCACTTGTCGCTTCTCTGCGAGAAATATTAGAAAATTTTGCACTCAACACGAACTTGTGAGGTTTGCACAATACTCTTAATGGTTGCATCGGCAACTGTGGTACGTGAATTCAGTGGTAAACTTACAGGCAATAGTAAGTATATACTGCTTCGCAGTTTTCCGGTTGAGGATAACAGTTCCTGAAACCTTCAAAATGTCTGATACAGTGTGATTCAATTAGTTCTTACTAGTTTTTTCCCTTCTAACATTCTCACAGTTCTGCATTTCATTATTCTCCTCATAGTGGTTTTTCTTCTATTCCTCTCTGCACTTTATTCTATCTATCACTCGTGTACCTTCTTCTATTAGTCATGCATTTCGTAATTCGTATAACTAACTCATATATTTCGTAACTAAGTTGGTCAGATTATTGACGAAACCACGTACCGTATCCTTGCCCTAAAATTCATTAGAGAGTTCCTTTTGGGCGGACAAGAAGTCCATTCACTCCAAGCCGCCCACTGGCCAACCGGTCGGCATGGCTCGGATGTCACAAGGGGAAATACCAGTAGCAGAAACATCATCCTTAATGTAGATAAGATTGGATTCAAAAGAACATTTACATTTTTTCTATTATGCAAGTAAAAAATTTTTTGTAGCAATTTACTGTTTTTTTCGGTTTTCAGTTTTTTATTTTTTTTTTATAAAAAATAAGCAGGAATTACGCTGTTTACGGACATGCATTAATCAGATTTTGTTTGTGCTCTTGTTTTGTGTCCATTCGTTACATCCACACCTGAAAAAATGATTGCTAAACGCAAAACGTTTAAAGAATAGAGATGCCCGTTTCTCATTGATGACATAGACACCAGTGTCTTAGTGCCTTGGCATAATGGACGTTTCCACAGAAGTAATAGATTTACTAGTTATCGTGGAGAAGTGGAAGTTCATCCATACCAAATTATGCTTCAGCCTTTCTTTCTAACGACGAACACAGGAAATCAACAACATTGCGAAATATAGGTGATGGAAGGATGAAAACTTACTTTCTATCGCGACGCACTGTATTGAGCAAATGAAATTTCAGTGAACAATTAACGAATGCAAAGCACATTTTATCCTCACATAATCATTAACAGACACATGAGATTATAACCGGTTTTGGAAATAATTCTTGATGAACTTTAACGGTGAAATATTTCCCCATTCACTCAAAATCAGGTCATCGCTAGATTCAGAAATCTTTCCAGGACATTGGTTCCCGGAATACAAGAGTGAAAGTACAGCCTGGTTATAATCTGTTAGTAGCAGAAATTATTCCGCGATGATAGGTTTGGCTTTTGTACCAGTCAAATTATCTTTCTGGATTAACGACTTGGATGTCAATCCAAGTTTCTCCTTTAATTTCTCTCTTAACGGACCTGCTTCGACCCTACCCCGAACGCAATTAACCTCTTACCCTTCGGGTGTCGGAAAACTGGCATAAACTTGGCTGAGAAAAAGTCAATTTTCTAGTCTCCATAGGAACGCACTTGCATTGTCTACTCTGTATTCCAGGAATACTTCTCTAGAGCGGCATTAAACGATACTCGTGATGACGAAAAAATTCTCAACCACCAGCCGAACTCCGCGCAAAAAAAGGTTCGAACATTTTCGCGTATGGTGGACGCGAGGAAGCGAATCGAATGAGTGATGGTATCCGCATAGCATGATATATTTGATGTTGGATCATGCAAAGGTAGTAATAGCAGTGATAATAATAACAGTAAAAGGATAAAGTTCTCGGCCTTGATCAATCCTGAGGATGCGCCATGCATTCGACATCATTAAGCATCATTTGGAGGTGATCGAATGCATATCTGGCCCTCACATGACTCGCGGTGGCCTACTGATGTATCGAGCCAGTGCTGCTATCGCCACTCCGACCACTGCGCCATACGCGCTCTTGATATTAGTAGTAACAATAATTCTGATTGCAATATGTATTCTTTCTTCGATGAGCTTACACGAGGTCGATAATGATGTTTATTTTCAGCTAACGTTTCGACGACTTCGTCTTCCTCAGAGCCGATGATCCGAGTCGACGGTCCTCGCTTGTTATTCGCCTCGACGTGGCAGCTTCGCCTTCGTGTCGAGTTAGGTCTCTGATTGCAATGTTTTCGCTGTATCTATCACCCTTATCAAATGCGTCCTCGTCTTTAAGCAATGTTCATCAGAAAGATATGTATATACATATATATATATATTTATATATATCAAAATATTGATGGTGAACTTTTTCGTCAAAACTGTTTCGAGTTGAATTTTTTGAAATATCGGTGTCCAATATCCTTTACTACAAATCATGCCTCATTAAGGTGAACAGAATGGTTAGCAAAAACTGGAGCAAAGTATTGGAACTTTTTCACGAAACGTTAGAACGCATCAGGTATCTGCAACGCAGGTAATCCCACAAAGGATTACTGAGATAGCGAATCCGTTGATGGGACTGCTTGCATAGTAATGTCCTCAAGAGCGAGTTTTGCACTACTTTTTATTTAGATAATAACGACTAATAATAGGACTGCATCGCAATAATTATATGTTTCTTTGTTTAGATGTCACGGACTACGGCCTATGTTGAGTATAGAAAATGTTTTTACACGCACATATTGGAGAAACCGTAGACCTCGACTGCGATCTCTTCGGCAACCACATTCACCTGTCCCCATAAATCATTGTGAGTGGCAGCGTTTTCTCGGCGGTAGCTCGTCAATTAAAATAAGAAAAACTCATTGCTTCATTAATTCGTAATCGTGTGAATTATACGTGGTCGACGCGGTACGAAGATAATGGCGGCTTTCAATTTTAAGCCAACACATTTCAATTCGCAGTGAACCTCATGAGTTATTCAGCAAAAATCATTAAAATCTGCAGATCTTTGTCAACAGGACATATTCTTCTTCGACTCTATGGTGACAAACCAGTGATTTTCTGGAGACCACAAGACACATTCGCTTGTTTTCTTTTTGTAGAAACTTGCACTTTGAACACCAAGAAAAGCGACCAAGCGAGATTTGCCCATAAGGGCACAGTGATGGAGACCTGCCCTGGGAATCGAAACACTTAGACCTCGTTTTCAATTTTTGAACAATTTAATACCAAATAAATTCAACGTTGAAGGAATACTTCATAATCGTCATTTATACCTTCAGAGATAGATCAAAAATTATCGTATAAGTGTGCTAAGTTCTCACCTCCTTGACTGCATTAGTGACGCTAGAAAATATCAACACTTTAGAAAAACTGACGGGGACACAAATGTGTAGAACCTTGAAATTTACAGTTAGATTGAAAGACGACATTCAAGCATAATATTCATTTTCAGAAGCTCGTTTCATCTCTGAGTCGCTTACGGTACAAAGCCATTGTTGCTCTCATTGTTTTTACTGAGCGGAGCGAAAGGTGAACGGTCCGAACACTATCAGGACCGAATACTTCAGAAGCCGTGAACGAACACAGTAAAAGTAGCGATGGCACTTCATTTCGTCCACAAATTTAATCAAATAAGGAAAACTCAATATCTGCGCAATCTGGGATAAGCATTGCAAATCAATTACTACATTTACTATTCACTGATATCTATATTGACTCGGTAAAATTCGTGGTAATAGGCTATCCGAGTATACTAGCATGTAGGAATGACAAAGCGTAACTTTTATTTACTCCACTTTTTACTATTATTTCTTTTACGTGAGAATATTATGCGAAATAAAATCACAATGAAACTTAGGTATCTGCAAAACCTGCTCTCTTGACGAGATCGAACCTTAATTACCTTTTCCGAAGCTCACGTGTTGCTCAGTGCACCAGTGAGGCCGTTGCTTTGCCTTCCTCTCAGCGTGTTTTTTACCCTAACGCTATCATGAGCAATCATCCGTCAACGGAAATGATCTGGGGAGCACAAATCGGTATTGGATCCAGCTGAGCTCAGGTTGCAATAGAAATCACAATCACAATCACTGCATACACCTGTGGTCCGGAGTTTTGCAAATATCTCAGCATTTCATACGAGTTATATTTCGCAACATAACCTGCCATTAAGAAGAAAAAGGCAGTAAATAAAAGAGTTAAGAAATCACAATGTTTAACTTTTTATTCATTGCTTACTATTTCTTTCACGGCAGGGTATTGTGTGAAATACAACTACAGTGATGCTGAGATATTTGCAAATATTATGTATGAATGACGTAGGGCGAATAGCACAGTGGTAGCGATGTCCGTCATCACGAGTATGGTGCTAGCTCGATTCCTCTCCGAGCCAACCAAGTCTCTCATCCATACGGAGTCCGGAAATTGGTACTGGACTTCACCTGTACTGTATCGCCTGTATCATCCGTAGACCCGTTGATCGTCGAGTGACCTGAGCGGGCGCCAGTGAATCTTCCATTTTTGTCGCTTACAAGAGTAGCCTAGTGGGTTATGCTTGCTCTACGGACTCGTTGAGCATCATATCCTTCTTCTAGACTTCTCATGAAGAACTCTGACCATCGGGTCGGTGGTCTTCCTGCAGTGCGTTTAACATGCCGAGGAATCCAGTTACTAACGGTTCCTGTCCATCGGCTGTCGTTCATATGCATCACTTGTCCCACCCACCATATCTTAGACTGTTTGGCGTACAGAACGGCATCTTTGATTCTTGATCACTAACGCAAGTCGGAGCTTCTGATCCCTTCCCTTACTTGCATGACACGGGATACTCCTAGCATCTTTCTTTCGACTGCGCGTTCAACAACGCTGAGTGATTTTTCATCCTGTTTACGTAGTGACCAGGTTTCTGAAGCGTACGTTAACGCAGGAAGTATCGTTGAGTCGAAAAGGTGGGCATGGAGTCGGGTATTCTTTATTTTCCCCACTACATCCTTGATGCGGTGCGGACTTTACTGAAAAAAAGCAGTCCAATTGGGAACGCTCCAGTCCGGCTGGCTCAGCACTCCAGGGAGAATTGATTAACCAGTATTCTGCGACATTCAAGATGAAATTGCCGAGCAGCATTCGAAGCCACAGGTAAATTTGGAAGATCTTTGTGGACAGTGGATGCGAGAAAACGAATCGAATGTGAGAAGTGCTGGGATCCGCGCAGAACACGTGAAGACGGATGAAATAAAATAAAATAAAATAAACTAGGAAAATATATGCATGAATTACTATTCTTCAAGTGTGGGAAATAGATAAGACAATTTTTTAAGAACTAAAATTAAAATCTTTCAAAAAACGAAGTACGCTTAAGTAGTGAAGAACCTCAAAGCATTCGGAAACACTTGTGTAGGGGCCTACAGGTGGCACCTTTGGACTACACTCACTATTTCACTTCACAAGAACAACTAACACGCTACGACGACGCCTAATTTCCCATTTTTACAGATTAGAAAACGTCTAATTTTTTGCTACGCTTACCGTGACACCTATAAGCGTCAACGGGCTACTCCCGCAAAACCGTTATGACGCGTGCAAGTGCCATTCGTCGTGAGAGTGTTAAACATCATTAGGAGAACAACGAATAAGAACCGATTTTTGTCTGTGAGCTTACCGACAACTCAGATGCAGATGTGTGGACGTGCACGAAATACAGCGCTTAGATTACAACGAAAACAGTTTCTACAAAAACATAGGAAATCAGCTCCATCGGTTACCGTAATAAACATGGAGATCGATGGAAGAAACTCGACCTAAACCATACCACTTACACTTTGCATAACCTATTGCAGTTGGAACAACATACACCCAGATATCAACCAAATAGTTTACTATCTGATGTTCCTCGTGGAACCAGAGGCATTTGGTAATGTGATCATGATGGGGGCGCGTGTAGCGCAATGGTAAGAAATTCCATAGGGAACACCAGTGGTCCCGCCTTCCATCCTTCCGGGATCGGGAAACTTGGGCCAGATTTGTTTGGGTGGATAGTAGCACTGACTTGACACACCGATAGGCCACTGCAAGTAACCGTATATGCAAAATGTGAATTCGCTCATCTCTAACGTCCTCTATACGCTTAATGAAGTCGAATCCATGGCGCACCTCTTAGGGATTAATCGATGCCGAAATATTTAAATTTATTGTAATGAAATGATGAAAGTTGTTAAGAATCACCAATCGATAGCATTTGCGTTGACTAACCAATACTAGAGACGCACATCGAGTCACTTCAACAATTCTGTTAATTTCGGGCTTGTGAGTTGGATTTATTAACATCAAAACCCTTTCAGATGGAGTTCTCGAAATCATTATCATACTTGAATTTCTAGCTTTTGCTTTGCAAATAGCACCCAACTCGAAACTAGTTCACGACGTCTACGATGGAGCATACGAGGTGCTAAGAGTGGTGGCAAACAACCTGGCGACACACGATACATTCATAGGAAAACCCCACCGAAGGTATTGATGAAACAGTAGATGGCCTACGTACCAGTATCAATGGAGTGCCAGTCATTCAAAATGGAGGTGTTGGTGAAAGGATTTCACCGTGGCGATGCCTGCAGTATCCTTGAAGGCATCATCATGTGATACGACAACTAATATCGGTGCTTCTACCAACCCTGTCATAACTGACTGTATTTACATAACACCTAGGAGCAAAAATTACATTCCATGGTACAATCTGTAGATAATAGGGCTCTCATTTACTGCAAACCTTTGTTCCTAACACAATTCCCGAGTATCCTTCTCCTTCGCGATCTATGTATGGGCTCCTTCTGATACCTATTCCTCAACCGAATTACCGGCACACAACAAGTGTGCGCCACACCACACTATTGCAATTCTATGCATACATATATTTTTCGAAACAACATATTTTTATTAGACATTTACCACTTATAAAGTCCTATCTTTGCGACGTGTAGCGCAGTGGTCGTGGGTGTCGTACAATATGCATGGGATCGAGCCCAGCGCCTAAGGCTCACCAAGCCTTGCACCCTCCGGGGTCGCCATATTTATACTTGACTGGTTGGATAGCAACACTGACTCGATACATCGGTACGCCATCGCGAGTCATTGTGAAGGCCGGACGTATATTCAACCACCTCTAACGATGCTTGATGAAGTCGAATGCATGCCGCGTCCCTCAGAAATTCATTAACGCCGACAGCTCTATCATCTCCATCCTTTTAACTTTGCGACAAATTTCTGTTAATTTAGCCTCCTTCTACACCAGAATGCGAAGAAAAAGCCTTATCTCACATTTATTGAAAGCGATGTTTGAGTTGAGCAGAAAATAAACATTGCAACATTAACACTATCAAATCCACAGCATTCCAACTAAGTGTTGGTACAGATCCAATTACTTCAATTCACAAAGCTTGGTTAAAGCTCAAATCTTCAAAAATTTACATAAATATGGCAACAATAAAATTTGTCTTGTTAAAATCGTCAAGTCTATATACAGCTTTTTTACGATTGATAAAGTCACAACAGTACACAAACTAAACTTGGTTTCGGTACTAACTATCTTATACTTAACAAGAAACTTGAAAATGCTAAGAAACTAGAGGAGGAAAATCGATTCAATGGGCAAAGAACTTCACCAAACGCACGAAAAGTGCCGCGTTTGGATCTCTACGAGAGATCAAGCACAGTATACCTATTTTGGCTACAAAAAAAAACAACATTGGCAACCTAGCTGGTACGATAAACAGAGACTTGGATTGAGAAAGAGCAAAGCACCAAAAGATCACACATAAAACTACACAAAAATGAAATCAAACAGTGACGGTGGGGTAGAGATAGAGCAACGACAGAGACTCACACAGAACTAAAGACTATTAGCCATTTTGTAGGAACGTATACTATTAAATGCAACTGACTACAGAACTGACGACGATCCATAGGAGAGATCTGCGCCCACACAGATATTCATTTATTACAAGATAGCAAATGCAAGACGACGCTAAATAATTCAATACAGAGGTGAACCCATGAGGACATTACAGTCTAGCAACTTTCACAGCACGGAAATTACAGCATCATTCCCACGAAGACTGGCAGCACGACTGGGCACCGATGCGGTGTCAATATCGGACATCGACCATTCGCCTCTTCCGAGTAAGCGTAACTCTACATCGTGGAACTGTTTAAGCGAGAACCGATGGCCCACCGATACATAGGTAATATTTTCCTAGAACAGAAAAACGACATGACAATTTCGCTCCTATTACTCTCCCACTAATTCGTCATATTATTACCAAAGCATTTTTTCAGTAAAAGAGTAGATAAGGTAACAATGTACCTGTCCTGTGATAACTAACCTCGTTTAATTTCCTATACAGCTGCATTTCCATCTCAAAACCGATCGCACTGGTACATTCGTCTAGAAAGACGATACGCGGCTTAGTGTAAAAGACACGTGCAAGTGAGAGGCGTTGCAGCTCGCCTGGCGACAATGTCTCATTCCTAGAAGAATCCATTTCAACGTAATGTTTAGCAAGGAAAATAATGGTGAATTCCCGCAAAGATGCATAACCTTACCAATCCCAATCAACGGGGCAGTCGAAACCTTGACACTTTTCCAGTAGATGCTCCATTTTCACCCATTCCAAAATTTGAGTTAAACTCGCGAGATCTTAAAAATCTAGTCTAGAATATGTGGTCTAAAATCGAAGGAAATCCACTGAGTTTTGAATAAGCTCTTTACCATTCGTGAACTATCCTGACAGAATATGCTCAGGATAACAAAAATTTCAACATAGAAAGGCCTAATCAAAACTATGATCTTCATTAAACGAATCACGAGCTCAATTGCTCACTGAAGCAAGCCGTCTAAGGGTTACTTACTGACCACACTGCAAACAAAATGTACTAAATTGTTCGAAAATTCATGCACTATTTGTAGCTTCATTTTTCTTACATGTTTTCTAGCAACCTCCCAACGGTTTACCGCATCATCGTGGCTGGGAGATGTTAATGGGTGTCGGGCTGCGATGTACAGCGGGGGGGGGGGGGATTCACCCCCCAACAGAGTCTCCCACGCTGAGGAGTCCGGTGTTCCCACGAGAAAACCTAGCTAGAAGTAAACCAATACCAGGATCCACCACCCTCCTGGTATCAAACTAGTCATATGGTAGTAAATCTCCCTCTGATCCACAAGAACTGCGACTGCTTGTGGTGGTGAAGACCTAGACCATATTTCGGCTAAGCTGACCTCGGGATTCCAGGGAACCACAATGGCTTAACCAGTGAATCACCGAAAAAATGGAACTTATACTGGGGATTGCACAACCGGTGAGAGCGGGCCATTCATGTATCAAGTAAGCTCCTAAAAACAACACATTCTTGAGTGCTGTACTATTATATATCGTTGAAAACATACTTCATGCACTTTCGCTCTAAACAGCCAAACAGACAAATCTTATTTTTCGACAAATTTTACAGAACAGATAACCGGATGTCAAAGCAGTAAATTCAACAAATCTACTTCCTTGAATTCAAACTCAGGGCAAACGGCTCAAAGCGTTAATGTGGCGCGAAACTAAGAAAGTTTTAACGAATGCACAGTACAATTTAGTTTCAAAACGTCGTGGAGAATTTGATATTCAAGAAAGGGAATGTCGCGAATGTTCTTCTGTTATTGATGACAACAGATAGATCATGGCGAAGGCAAATACAAATAAATGTTCCAGAAGCTGCAGAAGAATACGGTGTAGGCATCTCAGCTGTTACAAATGATCTAAAGATGTGAAATCGAAAAAGCTCGATCAACGTATGCTGCATGAACTGAGAAGACGTCGCACAACCGATTCCGCGGATGCTGAACAAGCTGTCTCATCCACCATATTCGTCTGATCTCAGGCCTACCGTACCGACCACCAATTCTCTAAGCATCTCAACAACTTCCTGTACCCGAAATTCTTCAGAAACCAAGCCGAGGTCGAGACTGCCCTCAGTGATCTCAGAGCCTTTAGAACTGCAGTTTTAAATGATACGAACAAGGAAATATATTTTTCGTCGACAAGAAACTGTAATTCCAAAGGTTTCTATTTCGACTTACGAGCAACTTAGAACAAAGGCGAGTCGTTATTTTAGAATAATCGAACTCTCGAATATGTTAATCCATCAGTTGCATACCTTTTTCAACAGGAAGCGCCTTTATGGGATATACGAGCTGTTGTCGCAACGTCACTCCTCCAGATGGAAAATAGGGTTTTTGTGGTATAAATAACAAGCTACGTATATGTCCACGCCAGTGACGATCCACTTTGCCTACAATAATAAGGAATGATGGGTAAGCAATTCAAAAGAAAGGTGCACTGAAATCCATATTCTGCTCATAGTCAAAAATGAGAAGGCCAAACGAGATCTTTACTAACCAGTTGTGTTGTTCCAAAGGCCGGCAAACATCCTTAATAATGAAGTTTTCCCAGTTCCACTATTACCAGTGATTAGTACATTTTGACCTTGTATTAACTGAAGTGTCAAATCTGCAATAACTTTACTCAATATCCAGTTTCTCGTCTAATTTGGGTAGAAATCGATGCGAGGATGTTGCAACGCTCACCAGTAAAAGGCTTTATTTTCCAATACTACAACCCTTCCGTAGCGATACCTTCTAATCTTCCAGCCTTTTATGATGACTTACTTGCAATAATAATGTTTTGAGCATCACTAGGAGGGGATAGCGTGGCCGAGTCTACTGTCATTGCGATACCGTCATCCGACCATTCGTCTTCGCGACCAGATCTACCTTAACAAAACTTTTGTAAAAAAAAAAGAAAGAAAAACAAGAAGATTACTGCGCATAGGTTATTTTTGAGAAATACCCAGAAGAAACTGCGCCTCTTCTTCGTCATCGCAATCGCGTTCGAGTGAAAGCTGCTTCCCATGCAATTCCTCGATCTTGAATGTACAACGTTGCAGCATACGATTAAAAACTCCACAAAAGACAATTCAGTGGAACTGAACCTTCCATAATAACAGTTAGTCGAGAAATGTAAAATATAAACAACCAACCGTCCTATTAGTTAAAACCTTCTCTTCATCGTCGCTTCCTATAACAACAACACTTGATGGGACTGTGGACGGTGGTCTGTCGGTTTCTAGACAGTCCGTGTGAAGTCGGTGCAACTCTTCTACTAGTTCAACCACCCTACAAAACAATATGTTTACATGCATTTAT